GAGCAGAACGAGGCGGACTCCCCTTTGGGAGGGCCCCAGGCCCGGATGACCACGCCCCCCTCTGCCTGCTGGGTCCTCCCGCTGTTGATGTCTATCGGAAACTCAGTTCGATTGTGGGGTCGATGCGTTGTTCCAAAAGCCATGGAGTTTCCTGTCAGAGGCGCCTGATCCAACTGCCTGACTCCAGGCCCTCCCTTCAGCTCTGTGCTCAGGCCAGGTGGGGGTGAGGCATCGGTGTGTCATGTCTGCAGGAAGGACAAGGCTGTCTAGGCCTTCCTCCACCCAGGTGGGCAGAACTCCAGCCCTGGGACCACAGCTCATTTTCTGGCACCCCACACAACTTCCTTCTTTTGGTTTCTTCTCCTTTTTTATCTCAAAGTTGGGCCCTCAGTGTCCTGACTCAGGACAGTTTTCACCTCCTGGAACTGGCGGGGTCTCTAGGGAGGGCTCAGGGTCACCCCTCGGGTGATGGGAGAGGTTGGGGGGCCGGCCCCAAAACCTACCATAGGCTGTTAATGTTCCCGAGGAAGGGGGTCCTCTGGGAGGCTTTGCGGCCTGGGTGCTGCGGGCCTGCTCGCAGAGCCTGGACCTACCCAGAGACATGGCATGGCCCCAGGTATAGCCCAGCTTCCATACCAAGGGACCACACGCTGGGACACCTGGGGTAGGGTCTTCTCTTGCTGGGCCTCATTTTCCTCATCTGTCCAAAGGGGCTAATGCTCCCTGCCTGCCCTTCTGCCTGAGGGGGTTGCGAAGGTGAGACAGAGTGTGACAGGTGCCTGCTGTGGCCCAGTGCCTCTCCCTAGAGAGGGTGTGCAGAGCTGTGTGTGAGTGACAGCTTACACACCACTGTGACCTGGGTGCTGGTATGTGCATTCCCTAGGAGCACAAGTGACCGAAGTCTGTGTGGGAGCTCGGTGTGGCTGTGTGGCACTGCAAGGTTTCTCAGTGTGGGTGAGCCAGTGCTCTGGGTGTAGGATTACCAGATTTAGCAAATATTTGGGATGTACTTATAGTAAAAATGTATTTGTTGCTTATCTGAAATTCTAACTGTACTAGGTGTCCTGCTTTTTTTTCTTTTTTTTTTTGAGGTGGAGTCTCGCTCTGTTGACCAGGCTGGAGTGCAATGGTACGATCTTGGCTCACCACAACCTCCGCCTCCTGGGTTCAAATGATTCTTCTGTCTCAGCCTTCAGAGTAGCTGGGAGATTCCTGACCTTGTGATCTGTCTGCCTCAGCCTCCCAAAGTGTTGGGATTACAGGCATGAGCCACTGTATCCGGCCCATTTTTTTTTTTAAAACAAGATCTTGCTTTGTTGCCCAGGCTGGAGTACTGTGGTATAATCACAGCACGCTGCAGCCTTGATTTCTGGGGCTCAAGTGGTCCTCTCTCCTCAGCCGCCTGCGAAGCTGGGACCACAAGTATGCACCACCACACCCAGCTAACTTTTAATTTTTTGTAGAGATGGGGTCTCCCCAGGCTGGTCTCAAACTTCTGGTCTCAAGCAATCTCCTGCCTTGGCCTCCCAAAGTGCTGGGATTATAGGTGTGAGCCATTGTGCCTGGCCTCAGTTGTCCCATGTAAGTTGGGTAGACTAATAGAATTTCTGTCATGACAATGAGGATGAAGTGAGTTAGTCCCATGGAGTGCTTGGTACAGTGCTTGGCACACAGTGAGTGCTCAATAAATGCCACAGCTGCTATCAGTTCTCAGTCCCGAGCTTCCTTCCCCCGGGTCTGGCGTCCGTCTCTGAGGCCTGGCCTCTGTCCTGCACCTTTGTTCCTCAATCTGGAGGCAATGCTTTCTTTCTCCCAACTGGGTTAACCTAGAGCCTGGAGTGTTGAGAGGGAAGCGGAGGTGGCTGAAATGACATGTTGTCCCCCTCCCTCACCCCCAATCCAAGCAGAGCTGCAAAAGGCCTGCTTTCAATAGCATTTGCTCCTTGCCCCACACAGCCCCTCCTCAGTGTCTGACAGCTGCACACCAGGACAGCAGCGAGGCACAGGGGGTCTGGCCATGTCTAGCCAGAGAGCAGCACAGCACTGAGATGCCCACATTCCAGGGGCTGGCTCCCAGGACCACATGAGGACTGGTGTGGGCAGAATTCTCTAGGGGCTCTGTCCGAGAATGGGGCTGAAGGCTCTGCCCTGGGTCAGGGGTCCAAACCCACACCCAGAACAGGCCTGCAGCAGGTTCAGCTTCCATGGGCACTGCTGTCGGGGACTCCTGCCAACCACTGCTTCCTGCCCTGAGTCCCTGGTGTCCTGGGTCAGCAGGTATCTCCACAGGCTTCCCGGGGGAAGGCTGCCTCTTTCAGCACCTTCTAAATTTAGGGCTTGGGCTCCATGACTCACTCCTGAGTCTGCTTTGCTCCCCTCCTCCGGGAGTGCGCTCCCACGGGATCTGCGTCCTCTGCTGCCTCAGCCTGATGACAGCCCACAGTCCTGCAGCAGCCACACACACGCCAAGGAGAGCTCCTGGCCCCACTCTCCGCAGGCCGGCCAGGCGCTATACTCTCCTTCCCTTACCTCTCCATCTTCCCAACCCTCCCTGCAAACCAGAGCCCACCCAGGTAGCCACATTGGGAGCTGGCTCCAAGCAGGACTATGAGGGTCGTGGGGGGTGGAGAGGTGGAGTCAACCCCTGCCCCCTGTAGCATGGCTGTGGGCAGAGCCCTCACCTGAAGTCAGGAGGCTTAGGCTTGCGTTCTGGACCAGACTCACTCTCACCTTGCTGTGGGGCTCTCAGTGAGTTCTTGGCCTCTCTGGGCTTCTCTTTCCTCCTCTATAAACAAGGAGTTTGAACCAGACTTCTATTAGGGAGGCTTGAAGCAGAGCTGAAGTGAGCACAGGGCCAGACCTCCATCTACTAACAAGGTGGGGCAGAGGAGGTATCTGATGTCAGGCCCTGTTTCTCACCCAGGCACCCCTCTTCCCCTAGCCCCTGCTCCATGAGGGGAAACGAGGACCAACAACCTGCTGTTAACATTCTTGGACTTCTGCATGCAGGGAGGAAGCTCATGCACAACCCCATGCCCTGAAGGGGCTGGAAAGAGCCAGGGTCTTGTTCTGGTCTGACTGTCCAGGGCTGTGACATGCAGCTTGGAGTAAAAATCATCTTAACTCTTGGCCTCAGCATGTGGGGAAGAGAATCATGTGCGTGTGCAGATGGAAACACCCCAGACATTTCTCCTCTGCCAGGTTCCCAGTACTGGAGGAGGAGATGGGGACATGGGTCCCCCGCTTGACTTCCAGAAATGCTGGCACCCAGGGGAGGGTATGGAGGTATCTGGAGACGGTCAGACCTGGGGCTGCTGCTTCTCTGCCCCTGCATGACTCTAGGAGAACCCCATCTGCGACCTGCCTCAACCTGTGTTCACAAGTAACAGTTACTGAATGCTTACCATGGGCCTGGTACTGTTCTATGTATTTAACAGGTCTTAACTCATTTAATTTATAGGTAAACTCTGAGACAGTCCCAAGGCTTAGCATTCTCACTTTAGAGACAGTTTGAGGCTCAGAGAGGGGCAGGGACTCACCCGGGGTTACAGTCTTAAGTCACTGGGAAGGCTGCTTAAAAGCCAGGTCTGAGGGCAATCCTGGCTTCCATTTGCTACCCCGAGGTAGTCCTTCTCAGAGTATACATTAGACACTAAATAAATGATGAAGATGTTTGATTACTGCCATGTAATGGAAAGATCCCTGTCCTAGTCCAGTTCTACCCCAACTCCCTGTGTGTCCTTAAGAGAGTCCTCCTCTGGCCGGGCACAGTGGCTCATGCCTATAATCCCAGCACTTTGGGAGGCTGAGGTGGATGGATCACCTGAGGTCAGGAGTTTGAGACCAGCCTGGCCAACATGGTGAAACGCTGTCTCTACTAAAAATACAAAAAATTCACCAGGCGTGGTGGTAGGCACCTGTAATCCTAGCTACTCCAGAGGCTGAGGCAGGAGAATCACTTGAACCCAGGAGGCGAAGGTTGCAGTGAGCCGAGATCATGCTGTTGCACTCCAGCCCAGGCAAGAAAAGCAAAACTCGGTCTTAAATAAATAAATAAATACAAAGAAAGTCCTTTTCCCTCTTTAGCCTTACTTTCTCTGGCTAAAAAACAGAATGATAAGTGAAGGCCCAGTAAATGCTTGGAGGTAGATTTTGGATTCACCACCAGGCATCAAATTATCTTGGATATCTTGAAGGATCTTGAATTTCTATTTCATTCATTCATTCATTTTGAGATGGAGTCTCGCTCTGTTGTCCAGGCTGGAGTGCAATGGCACGATCTTGGCTCACTGCAACCTCCTCTGCCTCCCAGGTTCAAGTAATTTTCCTGCCTCAGCCTCCCAAATAGCTGGGATTACAGGCACCTGCCACCATGCCCGGCTAATTTTTTTTGTATTTTTAGTAAAGATAGGGTTTCATCATGTTGGCCAGGCTAGTTTTGAACTCTTGACCTCATGATCCGCCTGCCTCAGCCTCCCAAAGTGCTGGGATTACAGGCATGTGCCACCGCACCCAGCCTTGGATTTCTATTTCTACAAATACCTGCCTTTCATGACTTGCCTGGGGAGGCCCAATCTGTAATGAGACCTCAGGGTCTCCCAGCACTTCCCCCAACCTACCCCCAAAACCTCTAAGAGCACTCTAGAGAGAATGAGCTGCATACAGCCCAGCTCCACTGCTCCAAGGGGCAGAGAAAAGTCCCCTTTCCTGGGGGCAGCTGCATGATCCTGCAGGTGCCATGGTGTGCCTAGGTGCCACCTCGCTTCACCTGGCTGGGGGAGAGGCTCCAACTGCCTCAGCTCAATGAACATCACTTCCTCTTCTCATCGCCCAGGCCAATCCAGGCATCACCTCAGCTCCACTCCCCAAATGGAGCCACCTGAGTACCCAGTTCCTTCTGGGCTTAGAAACAGAGTCCACTGTCTTCCCACTCCTATGCATTCAGAGTCTGTTCCCTTAGTACTGCCCCCTCACCTGTCACACCTGGGCTCTTGCCTTACCTGGGCCACTGTCCTGAGAAGCAGAATCTGTACAGCTCCAGCAACACTCTCCTCTTCCTCCAGAATTCTCCAGATCCTCCTCAGCTTCCTGCCTCTGGTGGTCATCTCAACAGAGCAGGGTCTTCCTCCATCAGGTCAAGGTGGAAGTAGGAGAAGGATTGGGAACAGGGACTCCCCTAGGTTCTCAGGGTACAGTCAGTCTACCTAAGCCTATCCAACAAAGACACTGACCCCTGAAGTAGAGGGAAGGGCTCCAGACCCAAAGGCAGGAGGATTAGGCTTTATCTCTTGCTCACAGACTGCTGAGACCTGGGGCAAGCCCCTGCCCCTCGTGGGGCCCTCAGTTTTGCAATCTGCAGAATGAGGAAATGGGTTCCTCAATCTACAATCATCCGACTATAATAATCTTTTACCTTTATATACTGCGTGGGTAAATTCCTGAAACTAAGCTGCTTTCACCCCTGGATCTCACTTGATGTTCCCAACAGCCTGTCGCCATTGACAAACGAGAAAGCTCAGGTCCAAGGGAACAAAATTACCCAAAGTCGCACGGCAAGCTGGAGGCAGAGCCTGGGCACCAGTCCTTGAATCCTAATCCTTCTCTGGCCCTTTACCCTCTGTGATGCTGGGACTCTGTGCGACTTCCTCTAACCTATTGTCCCATTTGTAAAACGACTGTTGTGAGGACTGAATTAGGAGAGGCGATGAGGAGGGTCATTCTTTGCAAATCATAAAAGAAAGGACCAGAGAACGATGACTGGACCGTTAGGTTACTATTTATTACTGTTATCTTCGCTATGGCGCCCCCACGTGTCGATCCCGAGAAGCTCGGCTTGCGCAGGCGCTCTTTGGTGTTTACGAAGGCCTCGAGGCCCGGCTTTTGCGCGTGCGCTTCTCGCCCGGGACCGCCCCGAGGTTTCCATGCCGGAATATGGGCGGCTCTGCTTCGCTCCCTCTGGTGGTTGTCGCCCCTCTGTCACCACGGCTCCCAGGGTCCTTTGTCGGCTCCACTTTCATTGAGACGTCTCCACAGCCCTACAGCGGCGGCGATCTGAGGAGAGGGAGGAGGAAACACGGCGCTCCCGGCATCGTCCTCACCGGGGACTCCAGCATCTCAGTCACCGTTTCACTAAGCCCCAGGTGCAGGTTCTGGCATCCATCATGGCAAACTGGAGACCGTGGTGAATTCCTTCGGAATGGCGCGCGCATTGCCACATGGGAACTGTAGTTCATGGCTAGGACCTTTTCGGGGCTGGGCTGCTTAAAAACTACATTTCTCAGGAGCTCAAGAGTCAGACTGACAGAAAGGGGGCTTGCAGCATATTGGGAGATGGAGTTTGGGGAAGGTCGTGGGTTCGTGCTGGCAGGGGAACAGTGAGGCAATGGAGCCAAGTACTCTGAGTCTGGGCCTCTGGGTTCGAGTTGGGCAGAAGTTACACAGTAGCTCTCATAGGAGCGGAGTAAACATTGTTGCAGCTGTGTTTTAGAAAGAATACTACTTATTAGTTGTGTGATCTGGGCGATCAGGACAAACGTCCCTTTATCTTTTTTATTTATTTATTTTTTGAGACAGGATCTCTCTCTGTCTCCCAGGCTGAAGTGCAGTGGCTCCAGAACTGCTGGCCTCCTGCCTCACCCTCCCAAAGTGCTGGGATTACAGGCGTGAGCCATCAGTCCTGGCCAGATGCCCTTTTATCAACTACAGTGGACCTTAAGGTTAAAGAAGCAAACATTACCTACCTACGAGTGGAGGGTTCAGGACCCAGCTGACATGGTAACTTCTTAAATTTCTACTGCTACCAGAAAAGCCACACTCTTACTAAACCCCTAGCAATAGGAGCTATCAGGCAAATTGTCAGACTCTTCTTAACTGGGATTTACACCCCAGACCACTACAACACTGATTGACAGAGGACATGCCTTACAAACATTCTTTCCTGATAAGCAACTGCAAACCTCAAGGCAGTTTCAGCAAGCTCGTAGAGACTGCACACAAACTGTCTTTGTGTCCTATAGTTCACCTGTTGATGCAAAGAGCCAAATTCCACCTCATTTTAATGCAAAAACCCCATCCCAAAGTGAACATGGAATGTATGTTACATGTTTACTCATTGCACATGCATTCACCTCCCCTCATAAATATGTATAGCTTTTCCCCAAACCTGCTGAATATGTATGATTATTGTAAAATACAGAGTGTGTGAGGCATAAAAACCAGCCTGCCCTTTCCCTCTACAAACAGAGAGCACCTCTGTTACATGCAGGAGACTTGTCTCTTCTCAGTTTGCAAATTGATGCCACTAATGAAACTGCCCTGATGACATCTCCCTCTGGTCGACTCACAAGTTCCTTAACTTGGTGTGTTCATAACTGACTTTTTTTTTTTTTTTTTAGCTGACTCTTTGGTTGGAGGGCAGCTACTCCTCACTGGGCCAGGTTCGTCTTCACCCACTGCCCACAAACAGCGTCACATCGAATCGGCCGTTTTTCACATAGATCAACGCCCTAAAACCTTAGAAAGCTGGAAGGATTTCAGGGTGGGGGAAAACTGGGCCTGATTTGCTCCGCCCCTCATCCCTGTCTCTTTGACAAGGGGTTGGGCCTCAAGGTAGAAGCTGTAGAGGAGGTCCCCCCTTTCTACCCCTTTTCCTGATCCGAGCTGTGGTGATCTCCTACTACCTTGAAGACTTTCTAGTCAGTTTCCCCGAACCTCCTCCTCCCCAGTCTCAATCTCTTTTGTGCCTTGGGAATTTCACAGCCACCTCTCTTCACTGATTCTGGTGGCTTTCTCCTGGGGTCAGCCGAGAGCTCTGCAGAGTGGCAGGCTGTCGCTGGTCTGCTGCGGGGAGGGTGGGTGATACTGTGAGAGGAAGCTTCCCTGTGGCTGTGCCTGGTTTTCCTTCTAACACTTCTTGAAACCTAACACTTCAACAGAGGGTCTAACTTCTTTGTGAGGGGATCCTCTTGCCACTTCATCCCAATCCACCTCTGCTACGTCTCATATCAAATAAATTTGTATTCCTTTTATTCACATAACTTTGACCTGTCTTTTTTTTTTTTTTTTTTTTTTTTTTGAGATGGAGTCTCACTCTGTCGCCCAGGCTGGAGTGCAGTGGTGCAATATCGGCTCACTGCAACCTCTGCCTCCTGGGTTCAAGCAATTCTCTGCCTCAGCACCCCGAAGTAGCTGGGATTACAGGCGCCCACCACCACACCCAGCTAATTTTTGTCTCTTTAGTAGAGACAGGGTTTCGCCATCTTGGCCAGGCTGGTCTTGAACTCTTGACCTTGTAATCCACCTGCCTTGGCCTCGCAAAGTGTTGGGATTACAGGTGTGAGCCACCATGCCTGGCCAACCTGGCTTCTTTTAAAATAATATGGGATCATCTTCCCTTCTCTTGGCCATTTCTTCCTTCCTTTCTTTTTCTTTTTCTTTTTTTTTTTTTTTTTTTGAGACGGAGTTTTTCTCTGTCACCCAGGCAGAGTGCAGTGGCATGATCATATATATATCAGCACGATCATATATCTATCAGATGGAGTTTCGCTCTTGTTGCCGAGGCTGGAGTGCAATGGCGCGATCTTGGCTCACGGCAACCTCCGCCTCCTGGGTTCTAGCAATTCTCCTGCCAAGTAGCTGGGATTACAGGCAGATACCACCATGCCCAGCTAATTTTGTATTTTTAGTAGAGATGGAGTTTCTCCATGTTGATCAGGCTGGTCACAAACTCCCAACCTCAGGTGATCTGCCTGCCTCAGCCTCTTAAAGTGCTGAGATTATAGGTGTGAGCCACCATGCCTGGCCCCACGTTAGCCAATATTGAATGATGCTTGATTCTCCCCTTGGAGGGAGGAACAGTATAATTTCAGTTAACTCCATCCCAAACACTGTTCCTCCTTTAAGTTGTCAACCTAAATAACAGAGAGGCTCTTTAAAAGAAAATGATGTTTATTTGGGAATAGAACATTGCAGTGGGAATACACATGCCATAGAAACCAGTGCATATTCAGGGAGGTAAAGAAAGACAGGTTTTCAAAGGAAAAAAATGAGGAAGATTGTATAATTGTTTTGAAATAATTATGCTTGGCTACAGAGATCAGGTGACACCAGTCTGGGGTTGGCCAGGCAGTTGCTGGGCAGATTTCCTCACAGAAGTTTTTGCTTTTTTTTTTTTGGTAGAAGGTTGCAGTGGCTTTTGTACCAGGTTGTGGTTTTTATAGTCTTTTGTGATTGTCTTTCTTTCCTTTCTTTCTTTTTGTTTTTTTTGAGACAGAGTCTGGCTCTGTTGCCCAGGCTGGAGGACAAGTGGCACGATCTTGGCTCACTGCAACCTCGACCTCCTGGATTCAAGCAATTCTCCTGCATCAGCCTCCAGAGTAGCTGGTATTACAGGTGTGTACGACCATGCCTGGCTAGTTTTTGTATTTTTGTGGAGACAGGGTTCTGCCATGTTGGCCAGGCTGGTCTTGAACTCTTGACCTCAAGTGATCCGCCTGCCTTGGATTCCCAAAGTGCTGGGATAACAGGTGTGAGCCACCGAACCTGGCCTGTGATTGTTTTTCGTTTTTTTTTTATTTTGAGACTAAGTTTCACTCTTGTTGCCCAGGCTGGAGTGTAATGGCACCATCTCAGCTTACTGCAACGTCGTCCGCCTCCTGAGTTCAAGTGATTCCCCTGCCTCAACCTCCTGAGTAGCTGGGACTACAGGTGTGTGCCACTACAGCTGGCTAACTTTTTTGTATTTTTAGTAGAGATGGGGTTTCACCATTTTGGACAGGTTAATCTCTCAAGTGATCCACCTGCCTCGGCCTCCCAAAGTGCTGGGATTACAGGCGTGAGCCACCACCCCTGGCCTGTGATTGTTTTTCTTGAGAGGCATATAAGCATGAGAATTCTCTCTTCATGTCCTTCCCTGGCTCTACTTGTCAGGGTTTTTTTTTTTTTTTTTTTAAGTTAATTAATTAAGCTGCTAAGTTCTAGGTTAATTTGTATTAATAAAATTATTAAAATTAATTAATTTTTTGGAAATAGGGTCTTACTCTGTCGCCCAGGCTGGAGTGCAGTGGCGAGATCTTGGCTCACTGCAACTTCTGCCGCCTAGGCTCAAGTGATCCCCTCAGCCTCCTGAGCAGCTGGAACTACAGGTACGCGCCCCACCTAATTTTATAATTTTGTAGAGACATGGTCTTGCCATGTTGCCCAGGCTTGTCTTGAACTCCTGGGGTCAAGCAGTCCTCCCACCTTGGTCTCCTAAAGTGCTGGGATTATAGATGTGAGCCACGGCACGTAGCCTTGTATTTTTTTTTTTTTTTTGAGACGGAGTTTCACTCATGTTACCCAGGCTGGAGTGCAATGGCGTGACCTCGGCTCACCGCAACCTCCGCCTCCTGGGTTCAGGCAATTCTCCTGCCTCAGCCTCCTGAGTAGCTGGGATTACAGGCACGCACCACCATGCCCAGCTAATTTTTTGTAGTTTTAGTAGAGACGGGGTTTCACCATGTTGACCAGGATGGTCTTGATCTCTTGACCTTGTGATCCACCCGCCTCGGCCTCCCAAAGTGCTGGGATTACAGGCTTGAGCCACCGCGCCCGGCCAGCCTTGTATTTTTTGAGACATAGTCCCGCTCTGTCACCAGGCTGGAGTGCAGTGGCGTGATCTCGGCTCACTGCAACCTCCGCCTCCCAGGTTCAAGCTATTCTCCTGCCTCAGCCTCCCGAGCAACTGGGACTACAGGCGCCTGCCACCATGCCCAGCTAATTTTTGTATTTTTAGTAGAGACAGGGGTTCACTATGTTGGCCAGAATGGTCTTCATCTCCTGACCTTGTGATCTTCCCACTTCGGCCTCCCAAAGTGCTGAGATTAAGCTGTTTTTTGTTTTTTTTTTTAAATATTAGTGACTCCGTTGTTGTTGTTGTTGTTGTTGAGACAGGCTTTCCCTTTGTTGCCCAGGTCAGAGTGCAGTGGCACGATCAGGGCTTACTGCAGTCTCAACCTCCTGGATTCAAGTGAATCAACCTCAACCTCCCAAAGTGCTGGGATTACAGGTGTGAGCCACCACTCCAGGCCAAGTGACTCCATTTTGATTCTGGCAACTTTCACAAAAGTAACAGTGAACAATGAGTGCATGTGGTATGCACACAAGGTCAGGGCGTGCTGAGACCCCATTAGAGACTGCTGTAGTCTGAATGCTGGTAACCCCCCAAAATCCATACACTGGAACCTGATACCCAGTGCAACAGTATTCAGATGTGGGGCTTCTGGGGAGTGATTAAGTCATGAGGGTTCCACACTCATGAATGGAATTCGTGCCCTAATCAAAGAGGCTCCAGGGAGCTTCCCAGGCCTCTTCTACCATGTGAGAACAGAGAGAGAAGGCATCGTCTTTGAGGCAAAGAGCAGGTCCCCACCAGACACTGAATCTG